GTGTGTGTGTGTGTGTGAGAGAGAGAGAGAGAGAGAGAGAGAGAGAGAGAGAGAGAGAGAGAGAGAGAGAGAGAGAGAGAGAGAGAGAGAGGATAATCCTCTCAGACTGCTGTTTTGTGTTTTGTTTTTGTTTTTTCCCTTTCTTTCGAGTTGTACGTTCTATTAGTATTCTTGCTTTCCCGCATTTTCTCCTCCCTACCTTTTCTTATCCTTCTTTGCTGAGGTTGCTTTGCCATATCCAGTACATGAATGGTGGCAGGAGTCTTGCGAGCGATCCGTCTGTCTGAGCCTGGGTACCATGACCCATCAGCATGATCCAGAGTAAGTTTTTTTTTTCTCTTTCAGAAGTTATAATGGCGACAGCCCTGTTTTGGCATCCGAACTTCTGACCGGCCCTTGAGGTAATCCATAGTTAGTCTCTATCACAAGGCCTCGTCAGAGCTCAGATCCCTCAGGAGGATCGGAACTCAGGTCTCTCTATCATCAGTTCGTTGTCTGTTTCCGGTATGTTTTATATCCGCGCCGCGTGCGAGTCTTATCTGTTTTGTTTGAGTCTGCTCTGGGTTTGTTTCGAGTGTGTTTGAGTCTGTTCTGGGTTTGTTTGAGTCTCTTCAGGGTCTGTTTCGAGTGTGTTTGAAATGTTGTTGGCCTGCTTGAGTGTGTTTGAGTTGGTTCCTCAGTTGTTTCGAGTCTGGTTTGGACTCTGGTTGAGTCTGTCTGAGTGTGGCATTCTGAGCCACACGGGCCCCAGTTAGGGCCTGGTTCCAGGTAGGCAGGGTAAGCCTAAGGGGGACGACGGTTCAGATAAGGCCCAGGTAGGCCAGGGGTACGGCGGTCCAGGCAGGCCTGGGATAGAGGCCCAGGCCAACGGACACAAGGCCGGTACCGGTCCAGCATAGGACCTACCCGCGGCCGAGTTTCAGAGGCTGCCAAATTTAGGGGCCAAGTCCAGTTCAAAACTGGACCGTTGATTCAGATCAACGGTCCAGGCCGGTAGGTACCAGCAGGTAGGAGGCCGGCCCAGCACTACAAAAGGCTGGGTACCAGCCTCAGTGGTAGGTTAGTAGAAGCTAGAGGTTAGTCTTCAGGATTAGCGCAGCGNGGTAGGAGGCCGGCCCAGCACTACAAAAGGCTGGGTACCAGCCTCAGTGGTAGGTTAGTAGAAGCTAGAGGTTAGTCTTCAGGATTAGCGCAGCGCCGGCAGCGTTAGTCCGAGCAGCGAGAAGGAGGCAGCACAGCGGCGAGAAGGACAGCGCAGCGGCCCTGCCGCGCCATAGCACCGGATCAGGTACCGGGAGGAAGGCTCCACCTTCTCTCCCTCTGTTCCCCCGCCCCTCTGCTCTCTCTCTCTCTCTCTCTCTCTCCTACTACCTTCTCAGTCTAAGACTACTTCTGGGTTTCTCCTACAGGACTACTACGAGTAAGAAGGATGGTTACCAATTCTGATAACATTTGGAACAGTGACATTGGGACTAGGGGTCGAGGACTACTTCGTCACTTCTGGCATTTCAAGATACTATGTTTGGAAACATTGAGTTGACGTCATCTTCCCTCTCCTCCTCCTTTCGTCTCTCTCCTCCCTCCATTCTTCCGTGGATGATCTCAGACCCTGGCCTTTCGTCTGTGTCCAAGGCCAGGGCTTTCACACCCCTGATGAATGTTTGAGAGTGTTCGATTGCAGTCCGAGTCAGGTCCGAGTCAGTCCAAGGTATCTCAAGTCTTCCGCTTGCATTTGTATTAACTCTGTATTATCTGGTAGGTTCTGGGAATCTGCGCCATACTTATGACTGTGTTTCACGAGTATGCAACAGTGTGGTATTGGAGCAGAGTCAGCAGACCAGCATTGGATGACTCACCATTGATTGATTGATTGATTGATTGATTGATTATTGATTGATTGATTGATTGATTGATTGATTGATTGATTGATTGATTATCTTCACCTGCACTCTGTTATAATTAAATCACAAGTTGCAAAATTTTTTCTTTTTTTTTTCGTACTTACATAGTAATTAGGCCATTGAATTATAGTGTAGGTTTTGAGACTTTTTCCCATATTGCGCAATTAGGGAATCGCTAATTACGAGTAACCTAATTCGCGCTAATTAGGGTTAGTCCTAACCTAATGTAAATGGCCTATCCAACCTATGCGAAGTAAGTGCCAGCCAGGCACCGCGCCGGTTACGGCAGATCGGGCCTGAGCAATGCCACATTCAAACCGCAACTTCACGGAAGTTTCACTTTTTGCAAATGCATCTTCTATTGCAATTAAAGTTTGAATTTTCCCAGCAAATTGTGTATCTTCCCATTACCATTCATCTTCTACTTGCTGAGTGACCTCGTGATGATGCTAAATTCTCCCGATTAAATTTTGTGAAATTATTAAAGTTATGTTTAAATGTTTAAACTTGCTTAAACTTTATTCATTTTTACTTGTGCAAGTTTAAATATTCTTTAATTAAATATTTTACTTTTGCAAAATTTTATTGCAAATTTAAATATTCTTTAATTAAATGTTTTCTTTTGCCAAAATTAAAATTTTAGTTAATTAACTCGTAGTTTCCAATTAAATTTCATTTAATTCAATAATTAAATATTTAATTTCTCAAAATTCAAAATTTTCGAGGGGGGAATTTTTCTTCTTCTGTGGATTAGTGTCAGACTTCGAAGTCAGGGAGAAAGGGACTGTCTGTGCATTGTTTGCCTGTCTGCCCCTCCTCCCCACCCTACCTTCTCTCTCCTCCTCTCGGTACCACGGACGTCAGTCTCCGACCACGTCAGCATTGTGCCACATCAGCAGCGGGCCGCGATGACACTCAGCCACGTGTCACCTTAGCGTGCCACGGCAGCCGAGTGCCACTCAGCAGCGGCAGTGCCACATCAGCAGGTGCCACCTCAGCGGTGACACATCAGCAGCAGACGAAGGCTAGAGTACTTGACGCGCCGCAGCCAACGACTGGCCGAGCGCGGATCCGCAGGAGCCAAGCCTCAACAAGGACCTAGGACACCTCGGATTCCGCGCAGGCCACGCACGACCATGGCTGCTACCGCTGACGACAATGCACAAGCCAGCCCCAAGAGGCCGGTTACCCCTCCTATCCCAGTTCAGCAGGCCGATGAACCGCTTCTAGCGTTTCTCAAACGGCTCCAGCTCTACTCGGAGACCACGGCAGCTGAACTCAGCAAGTGGCAAGAGGAGGAAGCCGCCCGCCAGCAGGAAATACAACGCCAACTGGCAGAGGCAGAGGCAACACGTCAGCAGGCCGCAGCAGATGCTGCAACAGCCGCACGGTTGCAACAGCAGCAGGTCGAGGCAAGTCAACACCAAGCTCGTTACCAAGCCACGATGGACCTAGCACGCGACGAAGCCACGCATAGCAGGCTACTTCGACGACATTATTTCCAAGAAACCGAAGAACGGGAAGAGCCAACCGAGGAAGAAAGTAACAAGGAAGGTACAGGAGTACTGATGGAGAATATGCTGTACACGTGCAATTGGCAGCAACGTGAACTGCTAGCCATGCGGCAGGTCTTCATCCACCATGAAACAACATTAAAGGCATTGGACAAGAAGATCGCGACCCTGCAGCCCGAGATCAACACACTACACGCCGTCAGCAGCCAGCAGCAGACACTCAATGACCAGCTGGACACCAATGTCAGCATGGGGTTGGCACAATTGTCGGCAGCTGCGTCAACGGGCAGTGCAGTGGTAGACTACAGCCCAACTTTGACCGCGCAGGCCAAGCAACTCGAAGAGCAGATCAACCACGTGGTCGCATCCCACGGCGACATCAGCAAGTTTGCTGGAGCATCGACAATCAGCAATCAGCTGTAGACGCTCAGCGACCACGTTGAGCAATGACCGGCCGCTGCCGCCAAGGAATGGAAGATGCCGAACTTCAAGATCGAGAAGTTCGATGACTATCACAAGACCGATCCGCTGCAATGGTGGATGGCTTTCAACGAGGAGGCGGACGTACATCACAGCCCCGCACATCGGCGGCTTGACGCACTCTACCTCCAACTCATCGGAGGGGCGCAGGCTTTCATGACACACATGGCCGTCACGTTTTGGAATGCACCGTCGCCAACCTCCACACTAAGATTACGTGGGAGGAATTCGAGAAGAAATGGAAGACCCGGTTCATGGTTAACAATGACAAACGGCATGCCATGAACAAGATCTTCCGCATATACCAAGGCCAGCAAACGTCACGGGAATGGCCGACGGAGTGGCAAAGACTTGTCGCCACCCCGGAGTTGAACTTACCATTCGACTCAATCCGGGCCGAGTTCTTCGCCCGCCGCACGGTCATGCGACGCCTTGACAACTGCTTTGGGCAGCGAATTCCAGTATGAGACCTTTGATGACATGATATCAAAGGCAAGGGAGCTCATACAAGGTAACCGGCGAGACCCGCCAACAGCCCGGTTACGTGGAGAAAGGCAAAGGTCAACGGACATCGCAAGTAGCAGCAGTCTAGCAAGGAACAAGTGAGGATCCCGCAGCCGCGTCTGCATCAAGTGACGGAGATGTGGCGGCAATGATACCACCACAACGCTCACGACCCCGAGGGGGAAAACAAAAGGTGAAACCAACATCGACGGATGGAGCATGATTGGCACCAAGGACAAAGTTCGGCATTACCGAAGACATGTTCAAGTTGCGACAAAAATGGGGATGCTGCTTTTGGTGCAACAGCACCAAACACATCACCAGCGCATGCCTCGACAAGGACAAGGAGAATGTCAAACGTCCAAGCTCAGGAAACTGAGCACCGTGGGAAGTGCAGCGACATCACTTCCCAGTCCGCCGGAGTCGGCTGCCTTGCTAGCAGTCTCTCTCACATCCGGGAATGACGCGGTAGTCGCAAGTTCTGGCATTGAATTTGTGAACTAGGCTGTCGAGTTGGTCCTACCGTTGAACCAGCCCCTCCACGTTCAAGATTCAAGCGCATGCGTGGTAGTTCCGCCGTCGGACAACGAACCGGTTGCTTCGCCAGCCCTTCTATCGGAGGATCCGTCAAATTGGGCGAGTCTTGAGGAACTCGACCCGTTGACGGTTGAGGACTTCCAATGGTTGCCTCCTCCCTCCACCGGTTTTTTGCCAACTCCGCATTGCAACGCCTTAATGGCACATTTGCGCGAATACTTGCACGCTGTAGTACCACCTCCGTCGACGAACGACGGAGTAGCGGTTGTTGACCTTTGTAACTATCTTGCATAGATCGACCGCGAATACGCAACGCAACGGTACGTCGACATCGACGCGCCGCTCCTCTACATCCACATTCATATTGGAAAGGTGACCTGCAGTGCCTTGATCGATTGTGGAGCGACTCGCAACTACATTAGCCAAGACTTCATGGCACGCGCCGGGCTTGGCCCGCACGGTTGAAGGAAAAGTCAGCCTACACACGTCACGTTGGTTGATGGTCACACACAAAAGTCAATCGACCGATGCGTTGACTCGGTGCCCGTGTACTTTGCCCCGCTAGCATGTGAGGTCGTGTCTTTCAACAAATTGGACACCAAGTTCAATATGATCCTAGGCATGTCGTGACTGCAAAGCGAATACCATCCGTCGGCATCCGGTGAACTTCCATTGACGCACTTTTCACGTTCGTGATCGGCGTGGCGAACTAGTCCCATGTACGGTGCCACTTCCTCATCCTTCGATTGGTTGTCATGTGGTATCCGCGGCGAGCATTCGCCAACCCATCCGGCGGAACGACATCGAGGAGATGGGCATATGTTTTCTTCACGCCCTCCCACCCGATGATCAGTCCGGATACGTCGGACCCACACATCATTAAGCTGTTGGACAACTATGAGGATGTCTTCCAAGATCCCGCCGGAGTCATACCGGATCGGCCCATACGCCACGGGATCACTCTCGAGGACGGCGTCATACCGCTGCGCAGATGTATCTACCGCACGAGCGAAGAGGAACTTCAAGTGCTTCGCGCACAACTAGACGACCTCTTGGCCAAGGGCTGGATTCGCCCTAGCCGTTCGCCATATGGTGCTCCCGTTCTCTTCGTCCGGAAGAAGAACAAGGACCTTCGTTTGTGCATCGACTATCGGAAAATTAACGCGCAAACGATCAAGAACGCCGGTCCTCTCCCTCGGATCGATGATCTTCTCGAGCGACTCGGCGACGCCAAGTACTTTTCAAAGCTTGACCTCAAGTTCGGATACCACTAGATCGAGATCCAGCCAAGAGATTGGTACAAAACCGCATTCAAAACGTGGTATGGGCACTTTGAGTGGATCGTCATGCCTTTTGGTCTCACCAATGCCCCGACTACTTTCCAAGCGGCTATGACGATGAAATTCCGCGACTTGCTCGACCGCACCGTACTCATTTACCCTGATGATATTTTGGTTTATAGCCGGACGCTCGACGAGCACCTCGAATACCTTCGCGCCGTATTGGAGCGGCTCCGTATCGCTAAGTACAAGACGAACCGCGACAAGTGCGAGTTCGCCCAGCAAGAGCTGGAGTACTTAGGCCATTACATTACGCCGCAAGGCATTCGTCCGCTCGCGGACATGGTACAAGCCATTCAAGATTGGTCGGACCTCAAGTGTACTACTGACGTCCGCTCCTTTCTCGGTTTGGCATCATACTACATGCGCTTCGTCAAAGGATTTCAACGCATCGTTGCACCATTGTCGCGACTTCAGTCCCCTTTGGTGCCTTTCGAGTTCAACGACGAAGCCCGACATGCATTTCACCCGACCTTGCCTACCAAAGTGACTACGAACGCTTCCGGTTATGGCATTGGCGCGGTTTTGGAACAACATGACAACACAGACTGACATCCGGTTGAGTACTTCAGCCAAAAGGTGTCGCCCATCAACACTCTTGATGATGCGAGGAAGAAGAAACTGCTAGCTTTTGTCACCGTACTGGCGTCACTTTCTCCTCGGGCATCGGCGATTCACGTAGGCAATGGACAACAATCCATTGACGTATTACGAGACGCAAGACACGGTGAGCAGCAGGATCGGTCGATGGATGTATTTAGTTGACCAGTTCGACTTCACCTCCAAGCACATTCCGGGTTCCTTGAACAAGGCAGCGGATGCTCTCTCGCGAAGACGTGATCTTTGCGCCTTGGTGCACTCCACATTCGGCCTCGACGAGAACCTACAACAACATTTCATAAACAGCTACAAGTCGGATCCGAGATTCTCCACAATCTATGCGGACTTATCATCGGATCACCCGCCGACAAGCAACTATCGCATTGTCGACGGCTACGTGCTTCTTCATACACGAGGCAAGGACTTGTTGTGTGTTTCCCAAGACCGCATTTTGCGCACTTGCCTCCTTGGCGAATAACACGATTCGCGGCTGGCGGGACACCTTGACGTCGCACGCACACTATCACGACTCCGCCAGCTATTTCACTGGCCGAACATCATCAGCGACGTCAACTAGTACATTCAGTCATGTGCAGTTGGCCACCGGAACAAAGGGCGCCATCAGCTCCCGTACGACAAACTGAAACCATTGCCGATTCCTCGGGAACCGGGTCTCTCCATTGCTATGGATGTGGCCGGCCCTTTCCCTCGCGATTGGCTTGGCTATGACGGTATTCTCACGGTCTTTGACCGTTTGAGCAAGTACGCTCGATTTCTTCCATGCAAGTATCATGTGAAGACTCCTGAGTTCACACGACTTTTGCATATCGGCTGGTTTTGCAGCCACGGCGTACCAGAAGACATCGTCAGCGACCGCAACACTCGTTTCATGTCGGCCTTTTGGACGACACTCATGGTGGAATCCGGCACCAGCATGAAACCGAGTTCCGCACGGCATCCTCAAACGGATGGGTAAACGGAACGTGTGCACCAGACTGCGCAGATGATGCTCCGCACACTCATTCGCCCGGATCAGAAGGACTGGGTTGACTGCCTTTGCGACATCGAGTTCGCCTACAACACTTCGGTGCACCCGACGATTGGCGTGACTCCATTCGAGTTGCACCATGGTGAACGGAAAGGACGTATCTTCGCAGACATTTTGCTTCCACGGGCTGCCGATATCGACGCTGCTTTCTGCCCCGCTTCTACACATACGTACAGGGAACTACTGGCCAAAGCCCGCACAAACATGCAAAAGGCTCATGCCCGTATGCAACAGCAAGCGAACCGGCGTCACATCCCATGTCCAATACGTGCTGGCGACCTAGTCTGGGTCACCGTCGAGGAATTCGTGCTCGAGCAGCACGTCTCACGCAAGCTCCTCCCTGAGTGGTTTGGACCATGGACGGTCACTTCAGCAGTTGGCGACGACCCCGCGGGTCCATCTTTCATCATTGGGATTCCCCCGCATTTGACGGTCCACCCGATATTTCACGCTTCAAAGCTGGCGGTCTACACTCCAAACTCCGCAGCGGATTTCCCGGGCAGACGGTCACAGGACCCTCCTTCAATGGATGGTCATCAGGAGGTCGACCGCGTTCTCACGCATCGCAAACATGGCAACAAGCCTATGCAGTACAAAGTTACATTTAAGCAATGCGATCCGGATGACACACGCTGGATTTCAAGAGCTGACCTGAAGGCAACATCACCCCTCATCTTCGCGCATTACAGAAAACAGCGACTTGCTAAGGAAGCTGCCCAACCTGCCCGCCCAGTACGGACATCGGACAGACAGCTTCGCCATCGCAGTTAGCTCGGGCTTCAAGGGGGGGAGTGTGTGGCATTCTGAGCCACACGGGCCCCAGTTAGGGCCCGGTTCCAAGTAGGCAGGGTAAGCCTAAGGGGGACGACGGTTGAGATAAGGCCCAGGTAGGCCAGGGGTACGCCGGTCCAGGCCGACGGCCACAAGGCCGGTACCGGTCCAGCATAGGACCTACCGGCAGCGCAGTTTCAGAGGCTGCC